GCCCCCGGCACCCGCCGTGGCGAGAGCCAAAAGGCTCCTCTGCCCATGGGCTGAGCCTCTGTCCCCAGCCTGGGAATTTCTGTCCCAGTGTGGAGGTGAAGTTGCCCTCCCTGGGTGGGGGGGCTGGTGGGCATCGGACAAATGCAGAAGCAAAACTGATTTCTGGAGAAGCAAAGGACTAAAGGAAACCCCAAAGGTTGCCTGCGCATCCAGAAGACTGTGGTACATAATCCTCTAGGAGCGGTTCCTGCAGTCTCCCTGCATCAGCTGGCAAGTATTCACATTTAAAAATCAATATCACATGAAATATAAACAGACTATTAATGAGGACCTGTTGGGACGCAGGGAGGGTTGTAATTAGTTGCACTTCAGCAGCAGTGAGTGAGAGAGACACAGTTGTGTTTCTCTGCTGGAGAAAATGCTAAAGGAGGTGTCTCAAGACCAACTATTGCATTATTTTGTCCCTAGCAGAGGCGCTGGCTTGGCTTGCACTTGCACTTCTCCAGATTTCTTCCAGACCAGCCCCCATATTTACCACAACCAGATTAACCGAATCCTGTGGTTCCCCTCTTGCAGAACGATGTTCTGCAGAAGACCCTTCCCAGGTGGGAATAACCCAGAGCGGAGGAGATTGCGCCTGGTCTGCTCTCAGCTCAAGCACATTTTCAGCGAACAGCTTTCTTCAAATGGGAGCTCCTTAGCGATAGCTGAGCCCCTGACCCTGCGTTGCCCCGGCACGGTGAGACCACCCTGCCCGGGGTTGGCTCTGCAGAGCTGAAAGCCGGGAGTACCGCCAATGGCACCCTCCAAAAACTCCCTAATCCTGGGGCTGAAACCCTGCCGTCACTGAAGGCAAGAGCAAAACGTGTGTGTCCGTATTTTGCTTGGCTTTTTTTATTTCTTTAATAGACTCCCATGGGTATGAAGAAGGAGATACGACCCCCGGACGCAGCCCAGCCTCTTGGCAGCACGAGCCCCGCAGAGCCATCCCTGCCGCCGCCCGCGCGTCTGATCCGCAGCTTCGTTCTCTTAAAATACGGAGCGCCGTGCCGGGTGTGCCGTGTCGGTAAGCGATCCCCCGCGCCCTGGTGAAGCGAGGCGGCGGCGGCTGTAAGACGAGCCGTTTCGCAGACAGGTGCAGAGCGCTCCTCATTCCCTTTTATTTTCGGCACCTCCCATGTTTGTTAGTTTTCTTATTCGATGAAAATGCCACATTCTCCTCGCTGGACTCTTTTTCCACTTAAGGACCCTGTTTTTGCTTCCCCCTCAAACAACATCACTTTTTGATACATCCCTGTTCAGAGCAGGGCAGCCACAGCTCTCGGGGTCACTATTTACCCACAGTGAGAAGAGCCTTTATTTATTTTAGTTTCAGGGAACCAGCTTTGGGCTTGAGCTTTAAATGGCTTCGCTACCGGGTGTCGGAGGCATTTGAGAAGATGAATCCCCTGCCTCCCTCCAGCCGTGCCAATTGATCATACGTTCGGGGAGAGGCAGGCAGATAGAGATATGCAGGCGTTCTTCATCTTTAAAGATGATCTGGAGGCTTAGGAACCGGGAAGGTAAAGTTAAAAGAGGTATTTGAAGAAGAAATATTGTCTCTGATACAGGGATGGTTCGGGATGTCTGGGAGCGGCGAGAGGCTGCTGAACTGCCGACCTGTGTTCGGCGCCGCTCGGACCGTCGGGATTTCATGGTGGTGATCAGAGCAAGGCTTTCGTGGAGCTTCAGCACGTGGGGTCAAGCTTTCTCCAGGGAAAACGGACAAGAGCTGGGAGAGGAGGATGCTCGGAGGCAAATTCATGTGAAACCGCAAAAGGTGGAGGCAAAGCACAGGCTTGGGGCTACCACTTCGGAGGACGCTGGCTTCTTTTTGTTGGTGGTGATTTGCGGTGCCCCTGGCCGCTATACCTACCAGTCTCAAACCGGGTACCCAAACCAGAGGGTGTCTCATATGGGCCAAGTTTAAGCTGGAAATTGGAAGGTTTTTCTTGGTTTCCTACCCAAATTCCTGGAAATGTTGTGAAGATAGCTTGCCTTGGAGAATTCTTGGGCTGTGGGACCACAAGAATATTTTTTTTCTCTGATATATTGGCTTCTAGTGACATCCCCAGCTGCAATCAAAATAGGTAGAAATGGGAAAAAATAAACACAGAAATCTCAGCTCAGAGAATTTGGAAGTTAAAAATCTATATACCTTTCTCCACACAAAAATGAATACATTTAAAATGGTTTATTTAAAAAGTAAGGATTAAGTACATCATACATGGTTGGGATTATACCAGTAGAACTGAAGCACAGTGGAAATAACACTTCAGAACTGCAGACAGAAATGTAACCTCAAGGGACATGATAGATTAGCCCTTGTGGATATGTGATCCATACAGAAAGAAAATGAAATATAAAAATAGTTTGTTAGATGTAGGGGCATATGAAGTGATTTCTCCTTTTACTCCTATTCTGTATGAGGAACTAGGAAGAGAGAGCTGACCATATACCTGAAACTTGGTTTCTCAGAAAATTGAATCTGATCCAGTAGCATTTTTTTTAGGTCTGCTGTTACAGTATGTTATAGGGTAATACCAAAAGACCGATTATTGTTAATGATATGATGATGATATCTGCAGGCCTTGTTGAGAAATGGGGGCTAATTTGTGTTCAGTGCTGTTCAGGGAAACCAGAGAGATGTGGAAGAACAGATTTTTTTTTTTTTTTTTTTTTTTATTGCTGAGGTGTCTAGAACATGTTTTGTCAGTCTTTTCACAAATTGCAAAACTATCCTGAATGTATTTGGTTAGGAATGCTGCAAATTTTTCAGTTTTGTCAGAATCAGTCTTCCACAGGAAAAGACTGATTTTTGGAGGATTTTTTTTTTACTGGAATCATCAAATGAAACAACTTTTTTTTTTTTTTTTGCTTTGGTTGAACAAATTACTACGTTTCAATTTGACATAGACCGTGAGTTTTAAATCGCAGCCCCCATTCTCCCACAAGACGAAAGCTCTGGTCCCTGTTATCTCCCCGCGCCTCTGTTCCCTGTCCAGACCCCGTATCCCATGAGCATCCCACGAATAATTCCCCGCCCCAGCTCCATTTCTCAAAGGTGCCTGCTGGAGAAGGCGCGGATGCTCTGGCCCGGACCGAAGCAGGGCATCGCGCTCGGAGAGCTGCTCTGGGGGAGCAGGCTCTGGCAAAGAGGAACATCCCGAAACGCTCGGCAAGACTTTTTCTTGCTGACGTGGTGTAAAAATACTGCACGTGCCTCTGCAGTCCTGGGCTCTAGAAAAGCCTTAGACTTTGGCTGGAATCAGATGGTTGGTTTTAAACACATTCACTGGAGAATGACGATTAAAAGAACAAAACCAATGCGCAAAGCAAACCTCACACTGCCAACTTCCAGTTCAATGTACGTGAGTTTAGAAAAACAGCCTATATCTAACTCCTGGTTTTAAAGGGAATGGTTTTATTCTTAATTACAGTAAACACGGATGAGGACTTATTTCTAACTATTAGTTTATTAACACAGTGGGAAACAAATAGTTCTGGGAAATTGCACTTGAAAAATACATCAACTATAATTAGATGTAAATTAATTAGCACTTAGTATGACACACTAATGAGACAGAAGGTTTTTTTTTCATTGCAAACTTCTACTTCTATCATACCTAATCAAAGTATTGTAATATTACGAAGTCTCAAAAAGTAGGAAATAATTTATTGTTTGAAAGCATAAAGATTCTTGTAAAAAAAACCTTTCATCAAGAACTTTAATAATTTTAGAACTCTTTTATGTTGTCCTAGCCGAAAAGTAGGTAAAAAAGTTTTCTTGTCTGCCTCTGTTTGATTTTTTTTTTTTTAAAAAGCTTGTGTAACATCTTTCTCCATAGTGTGTTGATACAGAAAGTAGCACAACATTTTCTACTTTTAAATCGTTCCCATTGCTCCATTTGCTTTAGCTCTCAGAGTTCAGAGGTTTGAAAAAGGATCCCAGCAGAGTTTTAACCTCAACGGAAACTCTTAATAAGCAGGGATGAAGGCTCCGACCCATCTCCGCCAAAATAACGATGTTTTTCTGCCAGGCTGAGGGCTAGGCAGAGCTTAACAGCGACTAGGGGAAGACTTGCGCTTAAAATGGAGAATGGTGTCTTGGTTCTTGCAAGGAGAGAGGCTTAAGCAGGGTTTACCTGGGCGGGAGAGGGGGTTCAACTTGCTTTTCGGGATGTTAAGGCAGCTCCTCCGGGATTTCCCTGGAGGACTTGGTTCCACTAGCTGAAAGCCTCGTATCCAAAACACCACTGACACTGCGGCCATCGCAGGATAAATTAAGACTAAAGAGGTTTTAACAGTTTGGCTGAGATCTCCCACCCGTCAGTGAGCCAAGCTTTCCAAATCATGATTTTTTTTCTTGTCTCCACTTCTCTAGTCTTCTGGTAGCAAAGATTTTCTGGGCAAAGATGACAGGTGTATTCAAAGGAATCTACAGGAATTAGATGCTCCTCTCTCACTGCACCTAATTCATCCACGGGGACTCGGGCACCTCATTCTCATATGGCTTGGTCGAGTGGTCATTAAAATCAACATGACTACTATTAAATTAAACTATCTTTGAGTCAGGCCCTCGAGCTTTGAGATTCCAAGCCTAAATGTAAAAAACGAAAGCAGGAATTTAAAAGAAAAAAAATATTTCAGACTTTTTTTAGAAACATACAGAAGCAAAGAGTACAAATTAGTTCCCCCCTTCGGTGATGCATAGAGTTTTCTGTGGGCTCTCTGCACGTGAATAGATTCATCTTTACAAAATAAATTAAATTAGGTCGAACCATCATTCCCATCTCAAAGCAACTATACCTTGCACCATGCGGCACTTATTCATAATAAAAAGAATTTAATAAATATCTCATAAACGGTGATTATTTTTGTTCTATTTTAAAAAATACAAAGTTGTCATCCATTCTGTTAACACTCAGTTCCCATCGCTGCAGGAAGTTTTGCTAGTCCGAACGCATTAGCTTCTCATTTTCTTACGCACATTGCTTAGATATCTTAGTTTCCAGTAGCGTTAGTGTTGCACTTGTGAAGCAGTAAGGAAAACAGGAATGCAGTCGCAGGGAACCGGCGGCTTCGCCCGCGCCGGCCACCCCGGCTCAGCTCTGCTTCTCGCTCTTGCTATAAGTAGTCTATAGGGGCTCCTGACAGACAGCACTCAGCACCTTGCCGGATCAGGCACTAGGGCTAGTCGAAATAAGAATTCAAGTTTTCTAAATGTTAGGCAAGAAATGATATTTGCAGATATGCTCAAGTCCCACCTACTTTAATCCTGCCCTTTCTAGGTGTTTCAAGAGGCACCCACCCTCTTCTCCCCCACCTGCACTGCCCCGAGGGACGCCTTACACCCAGAAATGGGAGACCCCCTTACCACCCCATCAGGGAGTCTGTAGCTCAGTACACGGGTGCTCTGTGGTTTCAGTAGCACAGGTCAGTTTTAGAAAGTGTTGCCTTCAAAAATATTTTTTCTTTTTTCTTTTTTTTTTTTTTTTTTTGAAAGAGGCAAAGCTTATGCTGCGTCAAAGGAAAGTGGCTCACTTGATGAGTAGTTTGTATTCATCCTTGGGCTTGGTTATAAATCATATTTGCAAGTTTGTATTAAGGGATCTCAATATTAGAAAAAAAAAAAGTTGTACAACAATTTTTCTGTAATCCTTTAAAACACACTGGTGGCAAAGTCCTTTGCAGTTTCTCCAAAACTTTGTACACACTACAAAAGTGCAGGAACATGAACTGCCTTCATCTCGTGACACCAAGAACTGAAAGAAACAAACTCCAAATAGCTTCAAAAAAAGCTACGAGCGTGTAATATCTTTATGTTGGTCCAGAGGATCTCCACTCGCTACCTCAACACATGCCACAATTAAAGAGGTGAGAGGGTATTTTAACATCGCTCCTTCTCTTTCACGACAGATCCATTCTGTTTCGATATTTCTTCAGAAAGCGCGAGGAAGGAGGGTACTTCAAACAGGCGTCGTTCTCCTGTTGACCATGTTGACATGGAGTCCTTCCTTGAATTCCTTCTGAAGGAAGTTGTGAACCTGCAGAAAACTGGCTTCTTGGTCTGCGTTGTAGCTGGCAGCCGTTGAAGAGTGTACATGGAAATTTCGTTCATGGGAATGGTGCTTGCTATCTTCATGCCAACCGGAGAAATGTCTCTAGATGGAGAAGGCTCTGTAGATCGAGAACTGGATCTGGATCTCCGCCTCCTGTACCTATAACTTGGCATCCTGGCGTAAGGAGAACTGGAAGAAGTCTTAAGGAATTCCCTCTTGGTCTTAAACCTCAGCTCTTTGTTCTTCTCAATATAAATGTTCACAGCCAGAACACCTATGGTTTCAGCCACAATGAAGGACAAGGCTCCAAAATAAAAAGACCAACCATAGTTGTAATGGTTCTTTTTGTCCTCATCACGCTTGTCACTTGGGTCACCTGCATTGCTTGATATGTAGACAATGATCCCTATGATATTACTTAGTCCTAGAGAGAAAAAAACGTAAGTCAGCGGTTATGTGGCTGGGAGGATAAAATTCAAGGCACGTTACTGTCTGGACCTGAATGGTTCAAAGATTATAAGTAGGAAATTTTATTACATTTATTTACTCTTTCATTTATCTCAAGATTTCATTTATTCTTGAAAAACAAAGAATAGATCCACATCTGGGTCACATATGCTTGCAGGGATCCCAAAATATTCAGCGGGCTTTGTTCCCATCTCTTCTTCGGCATGGTGGGCAAGAAGTAGCATATGGGAGCTTCCTAATATTGTTAGTGGGATTCTAACATTCAGATTAATAATAAAAATACATATTGAGCTCAGGGCTACGGCTGTTCACCTTGATCAAGATAAGCTCTCTTCCACCTTGCTGAATTTTCATCTAAATGCAGCATGCTTAATCTGAGCTTCAGGGAAAGCTGTTAACAATGTGGCTGACTCTCTCAGATGTTTCTAGTGTAAAAAACGGGCTCACCTATCATCGGTGAATTTTTTCTGCTATCATATAAAAGAAAAGAAAAAGGCCCTGGATGTAAGACAGACCTGATTCATCTAATGTTTAATACATTTTAAATAGCGTAAAACGTGCTTGTTACTGACTTGAGCTTCCTTTTTCAGGAAACCTAAAAGCTTTTCTAGAATATACTGGTTGTAGAACTTCAAAAACCTATTTTTGCCTTAAGAAATTTGCCTAGTGTGATGTTGCTAGTGCCCTCGATCCAGGAAAGGGGTAGAGGGAGAGAACTGCCAACAAGCTTTTCCACAGTCCTTTTCAGTTTAAAAAGGCAGCACTTCTTACAGACTCAATTGAAGGAGAACATACCTGCTGCAACAAAGAGAATCCCAGCGCTGAGAATAATGTTGTTTTTGCTGTTGTAAATCCTTCCTGCTCCGACACAGAGTCCTCCCAGCAACAGCAATATTGTGCTTAGGATGGGGAACACACTGGAGGCACGGACAATGCCTGGAGGGGAGAGAGGTGGAAAACCAAGACAGACAGTAATCATTTCAGATGCCTCCTCGGGTGCAAGCGTGGAGATTGCAAAGTCTCAAACCCCCTGGCTTTTGCTGGAATTATCACTGATTCTGCATTTCTGGGCACGTTTTTGGGAGGCGAGGCCACGGGTAAGTGGCCAATGTGGCACAGACACTCTCAACTGAGTAGCTTAAATCTTTTGAGCTTTCTCCTAGAAAGTCCAGCGTTATCACCATTATCCGATGCCACCACGTACAGAACATTTCTGGCAAAGCATGAGGTAAGTGACAGTCAGGGCCAGCGTCGCGCAGGGAGCGGCCGTGAAAAATTCATGAACCCTACAACGTCTGGGGATGGCTCGAGCCGATGGACCTCTTCCTTGACACGTGCACAGGGTGAGCAAATTACAGCTCTTGAAGTCTGCAGCATTCGTGTTGCCAGCGAGCACGCGAAGATCCCCTTTTTCTTTTGTTGAATATTAAAGACACTGAAACCCTTCAGATTTCTAAGGAAGAAGTTTTAACAAGTGTGTCTCAGATGTTTGTGTTTAGTTTCCTGACAGCTAGAGTCATGTAAAATTCCGTATGCTTCAGTCCATTCACCAGCATGGGCTATAAAATCCCCGGAAAAAAAATTTAAAACACGACTTCAAACCAGCTTTAAAGTCGGGTCACTACAAGACTAGGCAGCAATCGAAAGGGAAGCGGCAGGGAGGGAACAAAAGGGCTGAGAAAAAATAAACAGGCAGAAGAAGCAGAAGTCTGTATTGTAAAAACCAAAGGGGTAAAACCTGGCAGGCGTTCCCGAAAGGCAGAGCGAGAACCGAGTTACGTTGTTATAGGGAGAGGGATTTTTTGGAGAAGGGGAGATAAGGTGCTGAGTACCGCTGCGGAAAACAGGATTGCCCCAAAGCGGGGGCCACGGAAAGGCAAAGGCGCGGAGGGGAGTCCCGGCAGGGTGAGTGGGTGCCGGGGCGTGGGGATGCCCAAGGTGGGTGGGGGTCAGAGGCCGCTGTCACAGAGGGGTGGAAACCCTGCAGCGCAGCGGGAGGACGCGGGGACCCCCAGGGCTGGGTGCAGGGAGAGGAGAAAACGGCCATCTGCACCAGTCTGCTGCTGCGGTGCCGTTAGCCATGCGGTCTCTCCCGGGTGCCATCTTCCCGGCCGACACGCACAGCGAGCGGCGCCCGTTTCCCGAGGAGAAACAGCCAGATGTCACAGCTGATGTTTTCTCATTTTACTTTTGATGGCCGTGGCGTTCCCAGTTTCGTGAATTCCTTCCTAACGATTCCCCCGGTAACTGGTGGCAAAACTCCCACTGACTGCAAGAGGGACGGGGCTGGGCGTTTCATAAGAGCATTGCTTGTGTGTGCGCTGCAAAGCCCGCAGGAGCCCCAGTTACGGGCCCAGCCCTCATTAGGATGCCGCAAACAAAACAAAAAAGACGGTCCCTGCCTGGGAAGCTTATGCCTCTATCGATCTGCAACTGCGAGAAAAGTCCGTCTCCTACCAAAACTGGCAACGTTGCTGTACGGGTCTTTTACAGACGCGGCATTTTCTAACAGGATCTAAACCCAATTCAGTCGGATGCATTACCATTCCGACAGTGTCTTGCAATAACTGGCAAATCCAAGTAATGAGGGTGTAAGGTCTCTAATCAAAGCCTGTTGAGTGCTGAGAGCCCATTTTGTTGTCCTGGGTGTATCGCTGCGTGTCTGGTACGAGGTAACAGGGCTTTGACTTTGGGTCAGGTTTTAGAGTCAATTATTAGAAAAATATTCAATGGCAGGCTCTGCGCTGCTGCTGAAGGCACCCCAAGTCACTGTCTGTCTGTCAGTGTCCTGACAAAAGGACTTAAAATCTACCGTGGCCCACCCGTTCCGGTTGTTGTTTTCTATATTTTATGTTCATGTTGTTTATAATGATTTCAGTCAAAACAAAGAGCTTTCCTAAAATGCTTCAGTTGATATCATCAGAAGGAACTTGCCAGACATGCCAAATATAGGGGGTGGGTTGTTCTACTTGTAGCAATAATCTCCAGAGATAATTTTTCTATAGTAGGTAATTAATGTGAAGAGAAACAAAACACACAGTGTTCTCTTCCTGTAAAACTCTACAGTATATTTTTTCCTACGATGTGTACTTTTAGCTCTGAAATTTAAAAGGGAGCTCATAGGTACCATGTAGAATTTACATATGTCTCCTGATACTGGTAATAAAATGACAGCACATCAAAAAACATTAAGGCAATCTGGTTTTTCCTTTCTCCCCTGCTTTTTTTTTTTTCCTTGTTTACCGTCCTGTCTATTTGCGTCGGCTGTTCTGCACCGCTATGCCTTGTGACACCTCCTTCGGTGAAGCGCCGCAGCGTGCCGTGCAGCTCCCACGGGGCTGCGAGCCCTGGCGCTCTGCTGTGCTTTTATTCTCCTCCGAAAGGCGGGAGCCAAGCAAACGGCTTTAAAAAGGGGATGCGATAGCAGGGAAGAAATGCATGAAAGTTTAGAGGTGCCCCTGAAAGGGGTCCCCAGTCCCCCTCCTCATGGCTGCGCTTTTGCAGGGCAGCAGAGCCCTGACATCCTCGCACGCGCAGCGAGGATGAGTAGGGCTGGAATCCCCTCTTCTGCAAAGGGAGAGGTGCATGTGCGTCGTGCAATGCTGGATCGGAGCAGCTTGGTTTCGGTGTACCTGCAGAAATGCAGGAGAGGAGGGGAGCGGAGCACACGTGTGCGGCCGGGCGATGCAGGCGGCAGCCCTGGGGACTGCAGGGGCTTTCGGTGCACGGCAGCGATACCTCCGGCACTTGCTGGGGCTCCGCGCAGACATGTGAAGGGGATTTTTTTTTTTTTTTTAGACACACAGATTGGCGCGTGTTGTCACAGGGAAGGTTCAATAGGAGGGGTCTTGTCTGAGCTCCTTTGCACGTGTCAGTTGTCACTGTGGCTTGGTTTTGCAGGGAGCAGCCTGAATGCCGAAGGGCAAAATCCAAGCTCCTGCTCCTACCCACACCCCGGACCAAAGTCCCTTAAAATCAGTCATTTTTTCACTGATTTCAATAGGGTTTTGAACTAGGGCTCAATTCTGCTAGCACCATAATCTGAAGCCTATACGAGACTGGTAACTGTGGAGCAGGCTGAGGCCCCTTACGCTGCTCGTTCAGGGGCACGGATGCACACAGCGTTGGTGCCTTTGTCTAAGCAAGACAGGAAAAATAAGGGTTACCCCCCAGATGGCCCTCCAGGTGACTTGTGCCAAGAAATGGCTAAAAAGCACGGTGAGTGATACAGAGACAGCAGCTTGCAAAGGGCAAAAATGGGACGGAAGGTCTCCCGTCTCCTTTGAAACAAGATGCAAATATCCTCTTGTCTGTGTCTAGTTAGACAATGATTTGGTTCCTGTTACATACACGTATGAGCTCATCGCTTCTGGATTTAGGTACATAACCTTTCGGTAATCTCTAAATCAACCGTATGCATTTTAAGTGGAGCTGCAGTTCTGCAGTTTTTCTTGTAAGAGTTAAGGCAGAGGAGTCCTGTTACCCGTGCAGACTACGCGAGGACGAGCTCTCCTCCGCGGGGGGAGCAGCTGAAACCTGATTTTGCAGAAGACATGAAGGGTTGTACCAACTTGTTTTTAAGGTCTCTACTTAGTCACTTAGGAAAACAGGTTTTAGGAACATCCATCACAAGTACACTTACAAACAATTTACCTATCTCATATCTTACTGCGACTGTTTTTCCCAGTTTTCCCTTTTCTGCAAATAACGGTGGCATAATACACTTCTATCAAGATGCTACTTAATTCCTCTTTCCTTTACAGCCCTTTTACTACTGATGTTTCTTTCCTAAAGCTGACTTGGCATCAATTTGACATTAGTTCCAAGGCTTTGTATGAAACATAACTGCAGCCGTGCTCACACTCTGCCTTCGCCTGAGCCCTGAACTCCGGTCGCCCAAGCGCTGAGACTGATCTGAATTGACAAGAGTAAAGATGAAAAAAAATCTGGGTTTTCTGGTAAAGCATACTTTTTGGAGATTTTTCTTTTTTCTTCTTGTCTTAGCAACCAGAAGCTGTTTCCCGCAGGTGAGCAGAAGGGCAGAGTGGTTCTCGAGGTGATGTTTCAGGTAATTAATAGCAGTGTAACTGAGGAGTGTTTTGCCTTGCTGGGTGTATCAGCCAGCAGCGTCATTCATTGCTCCCTTGTGAGCTGCAGTTTCTTTCTCTGGTAAAGGGCATTGCTTTCAGCTTGGCTGGTCAACTCTTCTGGTCAAAAGGAACAACTAGGCAAGGCCTCCTCTGGGGAGGGGGAAATCTAACTCAAACTTTGCAGGATTTATGAAGATTTCCTATCAGCTGAGCAAATGGTCATCCGGAGGAAGATGAAACCATTGCCCTTGTCTCAAGCACCAGGTTGGTGGATGAAATGACTTCGGGGGGGGATTACACACCAGCACAGAGCAGCAATGGCTGGCTGTCCAGGCAGGGAAGCCACAGCCCATGTTCATGCTGAGATTTTGCTGTCAGCTGCAGAAATTTCAGCTTCCTTCCTACCATGCAGTAATTTCACTGCGGGGGGAGGCGGCTCAGCAGCTGCGAAGGATGAGGCTTGCGTAAGGGTTGGGTTTAAGCATTAGGGTTGGGCTGGAACCTCACTCCTCAAACCTCTCTCTGTATGCTAATCAGATAAATACTCCCTCTGTAAAATATCCTTGCCGATCTGGGAATGATAGCTGTAGCTTTCATTTGAAAAATTTCCATATAATTTTTAGAGAATGGGCACCACAATCGTGTGCGTTCCCCTGGCTGAAGGAAACCCGTGAAATGGGGGTCCCCGAGGGTCACGGTTGTGTCAGCTGCAGTGTGAACTGGACGTACATCAGCACTGCTCTCTGCCACCCAGTTTGGGCCAGTCTCTTGCAATGAGTAAGACTTGGGTTGGACTCTACAGAAGAGAAACCCAGGAAAGTCTCTCTGGGTTTAACATGTCTGTTAATCCTGTGTATTAGGTATTACTTTTCAACTTACGGAGAAGGTATTCTGAGCTGTCATGGTCATAGTCATTGTCCTCAGGGAAGTGGTTGATTCGGAAGCAATGTCCTTTGTAGATTCCTGAATGAAAAAGCAAACATAAGACATAAACAACAGAACCAGGTAAATGCGCTTCTGCCAGCTCTGCTTTATTTCCTTTTCCTCCCAGGTTGTATAAGTAAACTATTCTCCTCTAGGTTAGTCACTGATTTTTTCAAGAAACCATCTCTAAGGTCACGAATTTTGGGCAGATTGGGCTGAAGCCTAGCTGAAGGAAGGGAGAGCCAGGACGCCTGGGCTCTTTTCTTCAGTCTGCCACTAATACAATTCTCTTGAGTTTTTTAATCTCTCTGTGCTTTACTTTATCAGCGCCGTGCTTATCTTACAAGCATACTGAGTTTGCAAAGCTTCTTTTTGTTCCTGGAGTGGCTGTCACTCTGGGTCCCTCTCCACGGCTGGGGCTCCACAGCAAAGCCCAGCGCCAGCCTAGCACCCACCACCCCTCCTGTCTCGTCCCAGGGAAGCGCCGGTTTCCCTTATCAGAGCTGGTAAACGTTGAACTGTCTGAGGCCTCTTCAATTACTCTCTAGGCTTGGAAAACAAGTCCATAAATCTCTCCCTGCTGCAATTTAAACCCATATGTCCCCCTCAAGGTTGGCTCAGCTTTTAATGGCGTGTTTGTTTAGTTAACTGGGAGCCTGCGCAGTAAGTCAGGGCACGAGCGTGCACTCCTGATACCTGAAGGAACAACGCCGGAGTTGGCCGGATGGACCCCTCACTCGACTGATGAAGTTCAGCACTTTGTCCATCTGGGTAAAGCTTTACATTAGTTTTTGGTATTATTTTCTATCACGGTTATCCATAGCCACATCCAGGCATAGCTGCCCTTGGGTAGCTGAGACCGCTGTGGCAGAGCGAGCTGCACGGGGACCTCTCCCCGGAGAGCTACTGCAGGGGTGAAGCCCCGAGGTGTGATTCTGCCTTGGGGCTTTCATTATTCATTCTCCATATGGAACATACATCACCCAGGATGAGTTATCCTCTGCACAGGAGTTTCGGTGCTTACAGCTCGAGCTAGCAGACGGATTTAAAAACCATCAGTTAATACTACTTTAACAGAAGCACAGCTGCAGTCTGTAGGGTATAAATGTGGATTTATTTCACTACCTATTACCAATGATTACAAAGCTCTCAAAAGAATTACCAATCCAGAGGATTTCGATTGCACCCTGTGAGTGTCAACTGCAGGTTTGCTACTACAGCGCATTTAATTCTTCCGGTAAATGATGTATCTGCTCTAATTGCGGTAACGGCTCAGGCTTTCTCTGCGCGGCACTTCAAAGGCTGTGAACAAGCAGTAAGTGGCTCACGTCACATCTGGAAGTGACACGCCTGTCCTGTCTGCCAGGCGGACGAGAGCACTTCAGCTGGGACTGCTCCTGCTGAGCATGTTTGCCTGTACATCCCCCTGCCATCAGCTGGTTTGTTGCTCCTGATGGCTCTCCAGCAAGGCAATCCAAAATTCAGATTTTAAGGATCCCAGTACTTATTTTTACGGCAGTTCACGCAATGAAACTAAATCTCTCCCAGCGTAACAGGGCCTCTGAGACTGGACGGTCATTTCTTTGAGTCTCTTCATTGTGGTGCGCCAATTTAGAGGGAATATATTCAGAGTATGATTTTTTCTCTCTCCTATTCATTAAGGAAAAAATCAAAATAATCTTCTCACTCTAATTTCCTATAGAAATAGTCTTTTCAATAACTCTGTGCTTGTGTGTGTATAGGTGGGGCTGTCTCTCAGTCTGTATGTACTTCTCCAATAACTTCAAGGTAGTTGGTTGAATTTATCCAGAGCTGATAGACAAGCAGAAGTATCACAGGTAACCAAACCCCCACAACTTCCGTGCAAACAGGTGGATGCACAGAGGAGAGAGCTCTGTCCACCGAAGGCTGCTTTGTGAACTTGGAGAACAGGTTTGATGAGGAGTGGCTGAGGGAACTTGTTTAGCCTGGAGAAGAAGAGGCTGAGGGGAGACCTCATCGCGCTCTACAACTACCTGAAAGGAGGTTGGAGCGAGGTGGGGGTTGGTCTCTTCTCCCAAGTAACAAGCGACAGGACGAGAGGAAATGGCCTCAAGTTGCGCCAAGGGAGGTTTAGACTGGACATTAGGAACAACTTCTTTACTGAAAGAGTGGTCAGGCCTTGGAACAGGCTGCCCAGGGAAGTGGTGGAGTCACCATCCCTGGAAGTATTTCAAAGACGTGTAGATGAGGCGCTTAGGGACATGGTTTAGTGGGCATGGTGGTGTTGGGTTGATGGTTGGACTTGATGACCTTAGAGGTCTTTTCCAACCTTAATGATTCTATAATTCTATGATTCTATGACATGGGCAACAGCCCAAATAAATGTCCCACTTCCAGAAACTCAATTAAGAGACAAGAAGTCTGCAAGACTGAAATGTTCCCCACGCCTCTTGTGTTTGCAGCATTGATGGATTGATGGAGAGTTTTGGCCTCTGTAAAATGGCCTCACGTTATTAGACTTCTGAATGAAATGGGCCCCTTAGCAGAACTCTCTCTTACGCGGAGGCCATGAAGCCATCCCTTCCACCGCAGGACTGAAACACATCAGCAGGACAGGATGGGTTGGTATTAGCGGTGCTGGGCTTTTCCTCTTTTATGGTTGGAGACCTTCATTTCCTTGTGCTTATATCTGGAGCCTGTCACATGAAAGAGTATTATCAAGTCTAGCAGAGGGGAAAAAAGAGGATAATTAGCCCCAGACAGAAAGTTCTAGACAAGCTTGAGAGTTCCCTTCTATTTCCAGTTCTTAGGGATACTGAGATTGGTCATTCTGGCCAACTTTTTATAGAAATAGCAAATGGCTGTGAAATTTGGACCGGTATCAAAGCCTGGGAATCCCAAATATTCTTCCCAGTATTTTTGCCGTAGTTCAGATCACAGATATTGGTTCAGGGTCCTCTCTAGTGTCTATGCTATTTGATAGCTAATAACAGCAACAGATTGGATAATTTCTTCCCGTAAACTTAACAGGTGTCATATAACTCAGCAGCAGCTTATTAAACTCTCAGTGAGGCGTGAAGTTGCTATCAAGAAGTCTGGTGATCTACAGGGTATTGAGGGCTCTTTTAATCCACAATGTATCTGAAACAAAGTTTTGCTAAGAAATGTAACAACACTTTTTTTTCATAATGATGGACTTTGAAATTCAGATTTGGGAAAAATGAAAACTAGCTGGGAGGAAGCTACTGAAGCAGTGGTCAGCTTTAAAAGCACAACAGCAGAGTCTGACTTGTACTTAAACACAAAAAATAAAAAGAAAACAAAGCCGAGATTTGGTGAAATACCTGGCTCCATGCCCTAGCATATAAAGCAATGCAAAAGAATGAAAGCCATGAAACAGAAGAGGAAAAAGAAACACCTCAATTAAATTCAGTAACAACTATCCTACAGCATCTGCACAAGGCCTGAACTCCTTGAAGGTCTTCTCAAAGGCTTCACAGAGGATGCCTTGAAGAAATGTGTAGACTGGTCCACGCTCAGTAAGGCACGCATGGGCTGTTTTCCACACCAGGATGTGATGTGGAAGAGGTATTTTTTTTCTTTTCTTGAGTATGAGGATACAGTCCCTTATATACTTTGGAGAGGCAGCTGGAATATTTAACTTCTACTTCTGTACCCACTAGAGAGAGATAAATAAACTGCAATCACTGCCTAACAGATACTAAAATATTGAGAAGCACTTCTGGATACCTCTTGAGAGTAAGATATACTATCCCACTGAGATGCTGTAAGTATCACTCCTTTCTTTGAATGATTACTGATATGTTTTAAACGATGCTTTTAGAAATACAAATATTATAATGCATTTTTTCCTCATAATAATAACTTTGTTCTGAATTTGGAGCCAGGACTTCAGGATCTGGGTTAATGACAATGAAGAGGCAAATTTTCTGAAGTGTTGCTGACGGTGTAAGAAAATTTTTTTTTTTCCCACTGGTTGCATCGTACATAGCTGGCATTTAAAAACTAAAAATTGTTCGGGACTCGGTTTTACTCTGTGTTCAAGGGCTTCTCCGACAAGGTTAGTACTTCCCAATCTCACTAAGTGTTGTTCTGATAACTATAATTAGAGTGTGATGTACTCAGATAATGTGATAAGGGAGGGAATTGTAGTGCCCAAGTGAAGATTAAACTTTGTTTTGGGGTTTGAGATCTCAAAGTACATAGAGTTTTCAACAGTAAATCAAAGTAGTGATCCCAAATTCTGATGACATACTACCTTCTCCTTGCTCTTTCTCAAATAGTCCTTTAATGATCCTGCCTATACCATTGCAGAATTGTTCACTGGGGTTTTATTTTTTGATGACTGAGAGCGAAGGTTAATGGTGTAGGATGCAAATGCTTATTAACTTTGTTTGTGGCCGTGTATTACATGATCACGTTGGTTTTGGCCATACCATCAGCCATGTCTTTGAAACAGCCATTTCCCGGTGTTAGTATTTATCAATGACAACGTTCTTCCCTGATGCCCTGGAAGTGTTTGCACAAATCAGCACTGGAAGGTAGAGCACTTAAATGTCTGACAACATTTGCCAGGGCAGGCTGTACTTCTGTTTTCTCCTCCCCCCTAATCCTGAAAACCATATACAACAAGATCTTTCCATAACATTAGCGGTCGGTTGTCATTTAAAATAGGTTTCCACCATGCAAGACGCTAGCAGCTTTGCAGCAGAGGACTTTGGCTGCGGGGTACTTCTGTCAATAGCAATTTTTGTCTCCTTCTGAGCACGAGCTTACGGGAGGCGATATCCGATAGCAGTGGGAGACACATGAGGATAGATGGGTCAAGCTGCTGCCTCCTCCATCAACAGCTTCAGCAGAGCTATTGCTCGATTAACTATTTCATCTTCCAGCCCTCTCACCTGCCCTTGTTGGTGAGACTATGCAGTAAAACATCGGTTTTGGGACTTGGTTGAGAAGCCTTTCTTGTTTCCTTATGGGACACCAGACATTTGCGACCTCCTTGGATCAAACCCTCCCCTGCCAACACGCCACAT